AGGAGCTCAAAAAAACTGTCTGTAGAGGGTAGGATTATATGAGTCCAAGTAGCAAAATGCTCCCACACTCTCCTCACAATCTCACTCTCTAGAAAAAGGTGGGTAAAGGTCTCGGTCTCATGAAGTCCGGTCTCAGAACAACACACACATCGGGAGGGGAAGGAGATCCCCCTCGCATGTAACACAGTGTCCACAGGTATCCGGCGCAAGAGGAGGCGCCAAAGGAAAACAGATATGGTAGGGGTGAAAAGGTCGCTCCAGATGGCTCCGAAGAGAAGATTCGACCGATCTCTCAGCCTGATCTCCTCCCAAGCCGAGGTAGTAGAAAACACACCCGATGATGTAAGTCTCCACCTCATAACATCCGAACCATCACCCGAGATGGGTATCTGCTGGATCCTATCTAATAACTGCTCACTAAAACCCACCCCTAAGCCTAACTCTCTAACGAGCTTCTCCCTATCCCACGACCCATCCGACTAAATGTCGCGCACAAGCAGGTAGGGGGAATGCGATACCTGCCTATCTCTAGACAACGGCCTATCACTTAACCACCACTCATCCCAAAAACTAACCTCGCCATCCCCCAAAACCCAAAAAATGTGATCCTGGGCGCGCCTACCAACCCTAGTAAGGCGCCACCACTGTCTGCTATCATGCGCAACCGCCGTCACCCAACAAGGGTGGTTGGCGCGTCTAGAGCAGTACTTGCCGCGAAGGTATGAGAAGGCAGTAACAATATCCCTAAGACGACGGATGCCAAGGCCACCCTCAGGGAGAGGGCGGCTGATAGAGTCCCAACTCACCCAGTGGGTACGTCTCCCCCTCCCTGACCCATCCTCGTAACCCCAGAAATAACGAGCCATGATCTGGTCAATCTCGTCAAGCGTGGACCTAGGGGGGTCGAGGACAATAAATAAATGAATCGGGAGGGAGCTAAGGGTGCTCTTGATCAGAGCAAGCCGACCACCGAAAGAAAGATGTCTATGCGACCAACCAGAAATCCTATCGATCATCCTCTGCCTGATACCCGCAAAGAGCGCTCTCGTGAGGTTGCCCTTATATAAAGGGGCACCAAGGTAGGTAATGGGAAGGTCGCCGTGCGCAAAGCCAGTGATCTCATGGACTCGCTGAGCCCACCTGTCCGCGCTGGAGGAGGAAAGGGTGAAGGTGCTCTTCTGCACACTGATCAGCCAGTAACCAAGCTATAATGCTCCAGAAGGTGCATAAGCTCGATCAGCTCATCACCATCCGCACGAGTGAAGATGATGATGTCATCCGCATAAGATAGATGCGAAACGGGGGGACCATAGCCACGGGTGCTATATGTTATCTGAGGATAGTCGCGGATAAAGCCGTCTAGGCAGCGAGAGAGGTAGTCCGCCGCAAGGACAAAGAGGGACGGGGAAAGGGGGTCTCCCTGTCTAAGGCCTCTAGATGCAGGAAAAAAATCTGTGGGGCTGCCATTAACCAAGACCGAGAACGTGCAATGCTCCACACACGCCTCTACAAAGCTGATCCATCGCTCCGGGAATCCCATCCTAGCCAGTGCCTCCCTAAGAAACGGCCACTCCACTCTATCATACGCCTTAGCCATGTCTAGCTTAAGCGCAATGTTCGGTGCCCGCTTCCAGTCTGCATGGGAGATATCGTGGATCATCTCCTGGGCCAAAAGTATGTTATCACTAATGACCCGATCCTTGATGAAGCCACTCTGGTTTGGAGAGATGATGGAGGGGAGAATAGGAGAAAGACGGCCGTTAAGAATTTTCGAAATGAGCTTATTGGTCACGTTACACAGGCTAATGGGCCTGTAGTCGGACCAAGAGCTCGGATTGTGTTTTTTGGGAATCAAGACGACAGAGGTGGCCGTGAACGAGTCCGGCATCCGGTGACCGGTGAAGAAATCCAGTACCGCCTCCTCAACATCAGGCTCGACTATATCCCAACAGACCTGATAGAAGAGGGAAGAGAATCCATCGGGGCCAGAAACGCTGTTGGGATCAATCCCAAAAACAGCATCTCTAACCTTCTCCCTGCTCGGGAGCTCGCAGAGGTCGACAAGGTCGACCGAAGGAGGGATGGTAGATAAGAAAGAGACGGTCGGGGCAACGAGGGACCTTCTGTCAGAAGTGAAGAGAGTCTGGAAGTGAGCAACCGCCGACTCCCGAATCTGAGACTCTTGGGTCAGGGATGATCCATTTGCCTCAATACTATGGATGTACGACTTAGCACGCTTCTGCCTAACGAAGCCCTGGAAGAACCTAGTATTCCGTTCGCCCTCTACCACCCAGCGAACGGCCGCCTTCTGCTTCCAGAAATCCTCCTCCATGAGGAGTCGGAGCTGGTACTCGGCGTGGCAGCGGTGCATCGCAGTCCTATTCTCCGGAGTGGGATCCAGGTCATAGGCCCGCTCAGCCTCCGCGTGCGCACTCTGAGCCGCAGAAAGGCACTGATGGAGGTTTCCAAAAACATCCCAATTCCACTGTCTCAACCTATGCCGTAATCTGCCGAGCTTAGCTTCGAGATTGCGCAACCCGAAGAGCCCAGTCGGTTGAAGCCAGGAATCTCTGACAGTGTCATGGAAAGAGTGGTGGCGAACCCACATGTTCTGGAACCTAAAGGAAGCGCGGCGGGGAGTGCTCGAGAAGCGACACCTAATGAGGAGTGGTGAGTGGTCAAACCCAAATCGAGTGAGATGCGTGACGGTCGTGACCGCAAACACCTTCGACCACGCTTCAGAGATCAAAGCACGGTCGAGCCTCTCTTTGAGGTCATCCCTAACCCACGTGAAGGGCTCACCCTCACATCCAGCATCTAGCAACTCACAGTCCGCCACAGTCTGAGCAAAGTCCCACATCTCCCGGGACCTGTCCGTGCGGCCACCCACACGCTCATCGTGGTGCAGAAAGATGTTGAAATCGCCACTAACCATCCATGGCAATCCCTCCATACTCTCAGCAATCTCACGCAGGGTGTCCCACAGATCGTATCTCCCGACTCTATTACACTTGGCGTAAACCAAAGTGTGAAATATGGGCTCAGGGAGATGGGCAGCAGAAAGCTCAACATGAAGCACCTGATCGGTGTCCCGGAGGACCCGACAAGTGTAGTCACGCGAGTGGAAGAAGAAGATTTTCTGAGAAATGTTACCCACACCTGAATGGAAACCAAGACGACGTGAGAGATAGTCAAAGTCAGGGGTGCGAATCATCGGCTCAATAAAGCCGACTAAATCCAATCTATGATCACGAATAAGAGAGCGTAGATGAGCGAGAGTGGCCCTATTAGCCAGTCCCGTCCATTCCAAGTAATGGACGTGATAGACATATCAACAATCAGAAGAGCCACCAGACGGGGTCCGCCTGTGGCGAGGCTGAATCAGACCACCTGAGGGAGGGGGTAGGTGGCAAGAGGATCGACGAAGAACCGGAGAGTCTGTCCGCCTCGTCATGCGCGAGGCGGATATGGTATTCGAGGGGACACGCCCTCGAAAATCGCTCGTGGCCTGCGAATCGTCAGGCTGAGCAGTCTGACCAAGACTGACGCTAGGTGCCTGTCCCATGTCAGGGCATGCCTCCTGTCTGTCATGGTGCACAAAAGCACTGGAGGCAAAACTCTCGCACGAGACGTCGTGCTGAGCGCGGTTAAGACCGCATGCCTGCTCAGAGAGGGGAAGGGAAGGGACGCTATTCGGCAGAGCACTCGGGTGCTCGCCGTCAGAGTGTGGCTGGAGAGCTATAGGCTCAGTCAAAATCTCAATCTCCTCAGAGGGGAGGTGAGTCGGTAATTCCCCTTTCGAGGAGGTGGTGGCAGGAGTTGTCCTCATCTCCAGAGGGCAATCCTGGCTATGTGGGAGGACAGACAAAGGTACAGCATCACGAATGCTGTCATGAGGTGAATGGGTGGCCGTGCCAGTGGACGAAGTGGCCGGCTGCTATAGATCATCTACTAGGAGGTCGTCGTCCTCTAAAAGGTCAAGATCCGAAAGACTGTGTGGGTCTCTAGAGGAAGGCTCAGCCTTATCCTGTGACTCAGAGGAGAGGGGCGCAAAGAACGAGTGTTTGGTCTTGAAGGCCGACTGAATTGTCTCTCTGGGAATAAAGCCCGTAGCCTTGGCCTTGGGCCCAACTATGATCACTCGGTCTGACTGGTCAGGATGAGCATCCTTCCCAGTTTGGGCAGTGGCGTCCATCTTCACCTTGCCCTTATCTGTGGCCCCCTTTGGGGGCCCGGGTGTCTGGAGTGGGCCTTTGCCCTCTCCCTTCGGATCCCTCCAGCTGGTGGAGGGTCCCGGCTTAGCCGTACGACGGCGCGGAGGCAGACCGGGTCGTGGCTTATTGCCACTGATATAGCAGTCGGCCGCTATATGACCAACATGACTGCATGCGGAACAAAAAGCGGGGATCTTTTCGTAGATCACCCGCTGAGCAAAGGTCTCCGAACCCTACTCAATTTCAATCTCGTGGATAGGCTCCACTCTAAGATCAATCTCGGCACAGAACCGCGCCATATTAGCCCTGGACTGGAGAGCAGTCGGGGCATCAATGCGGATCGGTTTTCCGACACACTTAGCAAGTGTAGTTATGGAATCCCGGTCATACAGATGTGGTGGAAGGCCGGGGAGGCGGCACCACAGGGGGACGACCGGCGTCTCCGTCTTCGGGTTGAACCCGAAAGTGTACTTGAATACCCTAGCTGGGCATCCACACACAGAAATAGAAGTCCTAAGCCATGCCTCATTATAATCTTCGGGGAGGTTAAAAGAGACTAGAAGATGATTGAAGTTATACCACTTAAAAGAGAACCTACCCTTAAATCCCAATTTTCCTAATCCAGCAGCTAAGTCTCGGGGGGGAGGGATAGCGTAGGTGAACTTAAAGACCAGTGTGTTCGCTAACTTACCTGCGAGGGTGTCAGCTTCGGCCTGTGAGAATCGGACCTTCACTTTGTTCCCCTCCGAGCGGATGATGGTCCCGCAAGCGTGGTCATAGTCCCCGTCAAAGATAAACTCCGTTGTTGCCGGCCGCGGGGTATTTGAGCCGCCATCTCTCCTCCCGGTAATAGCATCCCGGAAGGAAATCGGGCCATTGGAGGTGGCCGGAATTGGTCCGGCTGCAGTAGGGTTGGCCGATGAGGCGCTCGTCGGAGGAGGCCCATTCGGGGAATGTCCGGGAAAATGAATTGCGGTCGACGAGTTCGGACCCGCGGTAACTACTCCGTCTTCACGCACATATAATACGTTCGGTTCATGTTTCCCGACAGCAGCGGAGGTTATTCCGGCGAGTTGATCGGACGGAGGAGGTGACATAGGCCGAGGTCCGAGAATTCCGGCCGTAAGTGAAGCTTCCGAGACATCGCTCGGTTTATAGCCGGCCGGCAGGCTTTTTCCGGTGGTCGCGGATGCACCGGCGTCGGCGACATTCCGGTGGCCTGTGTCAGATGGCTTGGTGGTGGTGACGGCAAGGGAGGCTGCCTGAGGAGGTGTTTGGGTGATGGCGGGCTGTGTGGGGTGATTAAGTATGGAGGTGGGCTTATGTCCCGTGGGCTGGGATTTTGGTTTGATGGGCTGATTTTGGGACGAGGGAGTTGAGGCGGGCTGAAAAATGGGGGTTGAGGTATAAAGAGGTAATGGGCCCGTCTGTTGATTGAGAGGTTCAGCGAAATTGGGAAATGGTACCTGCGGATTAGGCCCAAGCAGAATGTGGTTTTTTGGCCCAATGGGAGATTGGTTCGCCACGTGTAGGGATGTGATTTTGTCACCTTCAATGATGAGCTGAGGGTTTTCGGCTTGTGTTTCGCCGCTTTTCAAAGTGGTGTTTTGAATGACCGACGGCAAATTCAAAGGCGGAAGCTCCGACTGTAAGGAACAGGTCTCTGAAATTCCGGCGATGGTGCCGCTCGGCGAACGTCCAACTGAAGGAGTGATTTCCCCTTCTTCCGAACCACCGATTCTGACCAAAGGCTTCTCGATGGGATGACATCTTCTTGCACCAGATATTATCTTCTCCAGCGCCAAATTCCCAAAAATCGGCCACGAATCTGAATTTGTGTCGTTGTGACTGGTCGTCTTTATGGTGACGGATGGATGAGACTCCCATTTTTCAATACTTGAATGTTTGCCCAGGAAATTCGCGACAATTTGTTGGAATTCTGGGAGTTTGAGTAAACTAAGAAAATCAGTTGAGAGATTAGCCGGAGCTTGGAGGGGCTGAGATGAGATTGACGGAAGTTGGCCCTAGGGCCGGGTGGCCGGTGTGGCCGCCGCCGCCGGCGGCCGGTGGGGGTAGATAGGCAGTAGTGGTGGCTGTGGGGCGGAGAGGAGGCGGTTGTGGTCGGAAGTGGCCGATGAATATTGTAGAGAGAGAAACCTAGTGAGAGGTGAGAGCATTTGCTGCTAGGTTAGTTGTGTTTTGTTGCTAGGTTAGTTGTCTGATGCTGCTAAGTTAGTTGTGTTTTGTTGCTAGGTTAGTTGTCTGATGTTGCTAAGTTAGTTGTATTTTTTTTTTATAAAAAAATTGTAACCCATAGGATTTTAACCTGGTACCTCATGGAAGCAAGACAAGCAATGCAACCACTACACCACTCAAGGTTGAGTGTCTTTTGTTGCTTATTTATTTCAATACAACGGGTCAACGCCGGAAGTCAATGGTCAACGCTGGAGTCAACGGTCAACGCCGGAGTCAACGGTCAACGCCGGTCAACTAATAATTATTTTATTATTTAATTAATGTATATTTTAATTGATTTTGATCTAGACAAAATGAGTGGCTAAGATTGAGTCTCACGTACTCATTTTAAGGAGTGGTCTCATTGGATCCATCCCCTATATATATATATAATAGAAAATATCATGTTTTAATAAATTTATAAATAGAATTGTAATATCAATTTGATGGTATAAATCTATATTTTTGTTTATTCAGTAACAAGTCGGTCGTCTACTATCAATCTGATGGTATAAATCTATAGAATTGTATAAATCTACGTACATTGCTGTTGAATATATTGTACTTTGCCATAAGAATAGACTATTTTATTTTAATCATTGAATTCAAATGTATAAAGATCAGAAGCATTATGCTGTACATGTTTCTAAATAATTATTTTTGACTCATCGCAAAGAGTTCAATCTGCATAATTTGAGGAGCTCATTGCAAAGAGTTCAATCCGCATAATTTGCCTTCGCCAGATCATGTATCCCAAATATTGCCAAGAGCAAATTAGGATTTCTATTTTTAGCTGTGGACTTTATAATAATATCACCCATGGTATGTTCATGAACTTCTGCTTCTAATTCAATGCCTTCTACATTTGTTTTCTGGTGAAAAATGTTAATTTATAGCTGTATATTAAGTAGTCTTTTGTATTACTTGATGTGGTTTGGAGACTTAGTCATACCTTTCCGTGTTTTGCTTACCGTGGTATGTATAGCCAATGTAATTTCTACAATCATTGGGGATTGCAATGTCTCCATGTGCAGAAGTTGGTCATCACAAAAGCTCGTAATAGATAGGAGTTTCCTTTTTGGAAGTTTTTCTCTCTCTAGAGTTTCGTTCCACTAGTTGGAGGTTCAGTTTTTCTAGTTGTCTTAGATCTTATCTTTTCGATCGCTGATGTCTCTTTGTTTTGGGTTTCTGTCGGGTTAGAGTTTCCTTGAGGGGGTTATCTTTGGGGTTATCTGTTCTTGCTTTACTCTGTAGGGCTAGGCTTTTTGTTTGATTGCTATATATGTCTTGGCCAGATTTTTACTTTGCATCACTATTCTTGTCTGATTTCTCACTCTTTCATTCCTAATCCAGTACTTTCATATAGTGTGTGAGATTTGTGCATCTATTTCTATTTGGCAGTTCTAATTAGGGCCTAGAGTAGGGTTAGGGTTTGGAGGAGTGGTCTGGATTTTGGGGGTTAGGGCTTTGAGTAGTAGGGAAGAGGGGAATGGAGCAAGATCTGTTAGAGAAGATGCAGAAATTTGTACTCTCGGAGAGAGAGGAGGGCGGCGTGGAATTGTCGGAGAGGGATGTGGCGTTAGGGTTAGAGCAATGTCGGCTAAGTTTATTGGGCAAAGTCTACAGGGAGAAGAAGGTGAACTTCAGTGGGATGAAGACCACGTTGGGTATCATCTGGTTTACAAAGAAACCGTTCTTTCTCAAAAATCTGGGAGACAATATGTTTCAATTTGTCTTCCAATGTGAAGAAGATAGGGATAAGATCCTCAATGGGAAAACGTGGAGCTTTGATGGGCAATACTTAATGCTCAAAAAATGGTCCCCAAGTGATACAATCTTTACTGAAGCAGACGAGCATATCAAAATATGGGTCCAGATACATAACATGCCCCTGCATTGGATTGGAGCAGACACGGGGCTGAAGATTGGTAGACTGATAGGCAAACCAGTGGATGTTCAAATTCCGGTGGATAATAGTCCACAAGGGCACATCATGATGGTCTTGGTGGAGATGAAGGTGTCAGAACCTATTTTATGAGGGAGCAAGGTTAAGCTGGGGCAGGAAAGCAAGTGGGTGGATTTCAGGTGCGAAAATCTTCAAAACATTTGCTTTTATTGTGGTCGAATAGGGCATAGTTGATAAAAACTGTGCTTTTAAAAAGGAGGATGTCAATAGCAATAAAGTTAATTTGGGGCAATTTGGTGAGTGGTTGAGAGGTAGTCCTGTTAATATCCATGGGTCCAGGTCTAATAGCTATCATACTAATAACAGTCAATTTTCTGATAAAAATTCGGATAAAAATAATCAAAGTACTCATGAAGGGAGTGGGATGGGGGATAAGAGTCAGGAGAGTCCTTTGGCTTTAGTTAGTGTTGATAATCATAATGCTCTTAATATTGATAAGGTGGGGGGGGCTGGGGCTGAGAGTTCTCATGGTGAGGAAGAGATTAATAATGTGCTTGCTGGCCAAACTTTGGAAACCATTCCTGAGGAGATTAGAAATGTTTCTTCTGAGCTTGTGGATGTTGATATTCAAACTATAGAACATAGAGTGAGCCAGAGGAAAAGGAGAACTTTTAAAAGACTAACAAAATCTGGGAAAGAACCTGCTCTTGAAAAAATGATTTTGGACTCTGCGGAAATGGGATCTTCTATACAATCCATTATTTCTGATAACCCTAAGAGGAACTTACAAATAAGGGAGGGATTGAACAATCCTGAAGCCCTCGCTTGTGAAAAAACTTCCAAAAAACTGAAAATGATCTTTCAAAATTCTCATACTGTGGTGGAGGAAACCAGCCATAACTGGTCCCAAAGTTTCCAATGAAGGTATGTGTGTGGAATTGTAGAGGTTTGGGGGGACCCTCTACAATTTCCCAATTCAAAGAAACCCTAAGGGTTCACTCCCAGATTTTGTTTTTCTCTCAGAAGTTAAAAAAAAAGAAAAATTTGTAGAAACTGTTTGTAGGAAGTTAAAGTTATTAGATAGATGGATTTACTCTAAACCATCTGGGGCTGGTGGGGGTTTATTTTTGTGCTGGTCTCCTAATGTGGAAATTCTGGAGCTTAATACCTATGATTTTGGTTTTGAGATTAAATTTGTGGGTGTGGGAATGATGGAGACTCAATGGGGAATATTTGTTTATGCTGACACTAATCCCAGCATTAGACAGCATCAATGGAGATCCCTGGTGAGACATAGTTTGAGATGGGGTAGATCTTGGTTTTTAGGTGGGGATTCGAATGATATTCTAGGTAATCATGAGAAGAGAGGGGGGAAAATTAGAGAGGCTATTAGCTTTAGGGCTTTTAGAGAGTTTGTGAGAGACTTGGGGGGCATTGAACCTGATATAATAGGACCTCAATATACTTGGTTTAATCTTAGGAAAGGGCTTGAGTTTATTGAGGTTAAATTAGACAGATTCATTGTGTCTCCTGAGTGGCTCATTACTTGCCCTAATGCCAAAATCAATAATATTGCATTGACATCCTCTGACCACAATATGCTTGTTTTGAATTCTGATTGTACCCAAGAATCCACCAAAAAAAGATTTTTCTTTGATTCAAGATGGGGTAAAATGGAGGGTTTCTCTGAAGTTGTTCAAAAAGCTTGGCAGTTACCTTTGAGAGGGCCTGAGCGGTTTAGCATGGGTAGTAGAATTAGGAATGTGAAGAAAGCCTTAATGAATTGGAAGGGTAGCAAGCAGTCTAATGCTTTGAAAATTATTAATTTCTGCAAAGAGAGTTTGAGTAGGATTGAAGGCCTGGGGGGGATAGGAATTGGGAGGAGTGGAATTTTTTTAGGGATAGACTGCATGAAGCTTACAATAAGGAAGAGGAATTCTGGAGACAAAAGGCCAGGGTGAGTTGGTTGAAGGAGGGTGATAGAAATACTAGGTTCTTTCAAGCTAGTGTTAAAAATAGGATGAAGATGAATAGCTTGCAGAATCTGGTAAGACCTGATGGTAGTAGATGTTTGAATAGAGATGACACTGTTGGGGAGTTGACCAGGTATTTCACTCAACTATTTCAAACTTCAGACCCTTTGGTGGATAGGTGTAATCTGGAGGGTATACCTGTGTCTATTACTGAGGATATGAATAGGAATTTAACCAAGGAAGTGAATGAGGTTGAAATTAGAACTGCTTTAATAGAAATGGATAAACACAAAGCTCCAGGCTATGATGGAATGTCCTCAGCTTTCTTTCAGCAATCTTGGACAACCATTAAACCTGAGTTGTGTGCTGCTATCCAAAATTTTTTCCATAAAGGTAAAATGCCTAAAAACCTCAATCACACTGTGCTAACACTTATACCCAAGAAAAAAAATCCTCAATCTGTTGCAGATCATAGACCCATAAGCCTATGCACTGTGGTGTATAGGCTCATTGCAAAAATAGTGGCTAATAGAATTAAAACTGTGCTTCATTGTTGCATTTCCCATACCCAATCTGCTTTTGTGCCTGGTAGGCAAATCATTGATAATGTTGTCATAGCAAATGAATGCATTCATTTTTTGAAAAGTAAAAGAACTGGCAAAGAAAAATATATGGCAATTAAGCTTGATATGGCCAAAGCCTATGATAGGGTGGAGTGGAATTTCTTAGCTAAAATTTGTAAGAAAATGGGTTTCTGTGATATGTTTATGTCTTGGATATTGGCATGTGTATGTTCCTCATCCTTCTCTTTTAATGTTCAGGGTTCTGTGTTAGGTTATGTTGTGCCTACTAGAGGGTTGAGGCAAGGTGACCCCTTGTCTCCTTACCTGTTTGTGATAGTGTCTGAAGCTTTTTCCAATTTGCTAAAACAAGCTTGTAGCTTCCAAGGTTTCTCTGGTGTCAGAATTGGTAAGTTTTCCCCTACCATCTCTCATTTGTTCTTTGCTGATGATTCCATAGTGTTTTGTAAAGCAGATAGTATTCATGCAAACACTCTTCTTAGAATTTTGAGGGATTATGGGGATGCCTCTGGGCAATTAGTAAATCTTGAAAAATCCTCAATTTTCTTTTCCAAAAATGCTGTTGATAATCTTCAATCTGATTTTTGTGGTCTGAATGGAATCTCTAGAGTTAGTTCTTCCAAATATTTGGGGCTTCCTTTAGGGTTAGGCAGAAATAAGAAAGACACATTTCATTTTCTTTTAGACTCCCTGCATCCATTTGCACTTATATTTGTAGAGAAATTGCTAGATTTTGGTGGGGTTCTTCAGACAATGGGAATGATAGAGTTCACTGGTGTAGTTGGGAGATGTTAGCTAAGGATAAAGAGAGTGGGGGAATGGGTTTTAAAAATTTCAAGGTTTTTAATGAGTCTCTGTTGGCTAAACAGCTTTGGAGACTCATTACAAAGCCAAATTTGTTGATGAGTAGAGTGATTAAAGGGAAATATTTTTGGAACCAGAAGTTGTTTGATGTCAAAGCCAAGAGTTCTTATTCTTGGCTGTGGAAAAGTTGGTTGTTGGCTAGACAATCCTTAAAACTGGGGGTTAGATATCATGTAGGAGATGGGCAGAATATTGATGTGTGGGAGGCTCCTTGGATACCTGGGGTTAAGGGTTTTATTCCTAGCTTGCAATTTCAGAGGGATACAGTTAGAATTAAAAAAGTGAGTGATTTATTTATGGGAAATAAACAGGAGTGGGATGTGGATCTTGTTAGACAAACTTTTGCCCCTTCTGAGGCAGATCAAATTCTCAAAATTCCCATAAGTCCTGTAGGTACATATGATAAGCTGGTGTGGAATTGGCATCCTAAAGGGATCTTCCAAGTCAATAAGGTGTACAAATTTCTACCGCAACATCACAGAACAGACCACACAGTAGCAAGTTCAAGCTCAGGCCATGCTCACAGGGAACAGATCTGGAAAAAGACATAGAAGCTGCAGGTCAAAAGTAAGGTGAAGAATTTTTTATGGAGGTGCTGGCATGGATTCTTGAATATAAATGCTCAAATGATTAGAAGGAGGATGAAGGTAGACAGTATATGTGGTGTGTGTGGGGAAATGGGGGAGGATTTGGAACACATATTGTTCAAATGTAGAAGAGCTGTGACATGTTGGAAAATTAGTGGGCTACATTGGAGACACTTTGATAGAGATCAAATCTCATTTCAAGAGTGGTGGGGGGATTTGTGTTTAGGGAAAGGTGGGGATTGTTTTCAGGACAGAATTAATTTGTCTACATATATGTTGTGGTGGTTGTGGAGGACTAGGAATGCCTGGGTGTTCAATAAAACCAGAATAAGAGAGAAAGACATAGCAGATGGAGCCTGGAAGGAATGGAGGGAGTTTGAAGCCACATCAAAGGTTGATCAGGTTGGTCCAATTGGGATTGAGGAAGGTAGTGAAGAGCTGGATGGCAAGAGAGTAGGACAGTTATGCATTACTGTCAGTGCTTGCTTGTTTCCAGACAAAAGAGTGGGGTTTGGGGGAATTGTTGAAGCTGAGGGGAGGATCAAACACAAGTGGTCAGATTGCACTGTAAGTGCTGTCAACAAGGAGGAAGCAGAAATCAGAGCTGTTAAATGGATATTGACAAAACTTCTTATAACTGGGACTTCTTCACCAATATGCTGTTATGTGGAATCTCCCCACATTGCACAAATATTGAACCACAAAGAAGAACCAGATGATTTCTTGTTGCCACTTATCATGGATGTACTCACTCTTGCTCAAACTTATTCTAGTTGTTTGTTTTGTGTGGATAGTAATGCTTGTAGTAGTTCTTTTGCTTTAGCCCTAGAGGCTTTTCAGGGAAACAATTGTTAGTTTCTCATATCTTGTAGTTTCCCGATTGTTTGGGTAGCTTATGGGATTGTATCCAGTTGGATATTCGTTGTATGAACATTGAAGTTGAGTTTTATCTATTGAAATGTTTGATGTTGGAAAAAAAAAAAAGAAGAAGTTGGTCATCACTATCATGTTTATCTCATAATAATACTTACAGATGCATTTTTGTTGGTATCCACAAGAACAATATTTATTAAGTAAATATTAAGGTTTAAATATATAAAAACAGATTATAGTGAAAGAGAGTAGTATAGATGTGAATTGGTTTCTTGATTTCTGTTTTTTTTTTCAACTGCCTTTCTTGACAATTTCTCTTTATTTTATTTATTTAATTTTCAACTAATATCTACCAACTAATACCTAACAACTAATATCTAACAACTAATTTTTACTAATGAGCATTAATTATTTTAATACTCCCTTAATGCTCATTTGGATAATTCCTAGTTTTTCGCGCAGACTCTCCAATCTTGGTCTCGGTAAAGGCTTTGTGAAAATATCTGCAAGTTGATCTTCAGTGGCGACATATGTGAACTCTATCTGCTTGTCATTGGTGGCTTCACGTAGAAAATGATATTTGATAGCAATGTGTTTGGTTCTGCTGTGATGTACCGGATTTTTCGCACCGGATTTTTCGCCATTGTTATCGCTGACTTGTTCTCGCAGTATATCTCCATTGGACTTTCTTGGTGTTCTCCCATGTATCCAAGAATATGCCTAAGCCAAATAGCTTGACTTGTCGTTAGTGCTGCTGCGACATACTCAGCCTCTGCTGATGATTGCGCCACACAGTTTTGCTTTTTAGATGACCACGAAAATATGGCTGAGCCAAGTGAAAATGTGTAGCCTGTATCCTCTTTCCACCATTTGTCCCACGCTGAGTAAATTAGTATTAAGTTTTGGTACTAGCAGCACATTTCAACGAGACGAGTACCTTTTTGGGTCTCGACTTCTATTGAGCCTTTGCCTTCAACTTCTACTAGATCTCCATTTCCTAATCGAACTTGTGATTTTACAGATCTATCAATATTTTTAAATTTCTTCTCGTCTCCGGTCATATGGTTGCTACAGCCGCTATCTAGGAACCAAATATCATTTTTCTCTTCTGAAGTTACATGTGTTGCATAGAATAGCAAATTTTCTCCTTTTTCATTTTCTTTAGAGAAATTTGCTTGATATTTTTTAGTGCGGCAATTTTTCTCCACATGACCGAATTTACCACAATTTTTACATTGTGGTTTATCTCTGTACCAACAATCCTTCTCCAGATGGTTGGTCTTTTTGCAAACTCCATAGGGTGAATATTTTCCTTTTTATTGATTATTATAATTTCCACCTTGATTTTTATTTTTGCTATTTTCTCCAAATTTTCTCCCCCAATTTTAGAATTCTGAAACCGTAAATTTAGTTTTGTCTGAAATGCGTTTTCGACTGTATCATTTTCACGCATACTCAATCTTTTCTCATGGGCTTCAAGTGAACCTATTAATTCAGTCACTGACAATTTATCCAGATTTTTAGTTTCTTCAGTCGTCGTGACAATAGGATCATATTTAGCTGGTAGAGTAATAAGAATTTTTTCTACCACTCTTTTGTCAGTGATATATTCTTCATATGTTTTTAATTGATTTACTACTTCTCTTAATCGAGTGTAGTAATCTTTCACAGTCTCAGATTCTTTCATCTTCATATTTCCAAATCTCTTCTTAGAGTTTGTAATTTTAGATGACGTACCTTGTCACTACCCTAGTATTCTTCCTTGAGAGTATCCCACGCCTCCTTTGATGTCTGTGCTCCGCTAATTCTTGGAAATAGGGATTCCGTCATGGCCATTTGTAGTGTGTAGAGAGCTAAACTGTCTTTCTCCTTCTCCCGGTTGAATTTTGCTTTGTCCGCCGTAGACAAAGTGGATATGTCATCGGGAATAGTATACCCATTCTCGATAATATTCCATAGGTCTTGAGACATAAAGTATGTTCTCATTTTAATAGACCAATAGTTATAATTTTCGCCAGAAAAAATGGGAATTAGTATTTGATGGGTATTTTGGGAAGTTGCCATTTTAGAAATTTAGTAGGTTATATAAAAGTAGGAGGATATGTGAAAGTAGGGTATTTGAACAAGATATGCAAAAATAGAAGGATATGGGAAAATAATTTCGCCCAGCTATTGATCCAACCGGGCTCTGATACCACTGTTGGTATCAACAAAAACAATATTTATTAAGTAAATATTAAGGTTTAAATATATGAAAACAGATTATAGTGAAAGAGAGTAGTATAGATGTGAATTGGTTTCTTGATTTCTGTTTTTTTGTTTTTTTTTGTTCAACTGCCTTTCTTGACAATTTCTCTTTATTTTATTTATTTAATTTTCAACTAATATCTACCAACTAATACCTAACAACTAATATCTAACAACTAATTTTTACTAATGAGCATTAATTATTTTAATAATTTTTATTCTGTTTTTGTTTCCTCAGATGCCTATGCCTGATGCAGTAGTAAACTATGTTTTACTAAACAGGAAGTAGGCCTTTGTGCAACAAAAGAATTTGCTCTATGAAAGAACGTGAGTTTTGTATGGATTAGACTTCTTCTATGAGCAATACTCATCAGAAGATCTCTGCACCTAGAAATTTCTCGGACGGTAATGCTAGAGAAGATAGCTCATGGAAGGACGTGTCTGAGTATTATGCTTGTGAAAAGCCTTCTTCATCATGGATGGATCGTTGCTTATGTTGATGTTAGGTTTGTTGAGTGTCTTTTGTTCCTTAAAGTATCTGCATCCGCTATGGAAGTTATTGATATATTTAATGTAAATTTATCCAGAAGCACAATTATGTGAATTATTGCCCATTTTGGTCCTTTGGAACTATATATTATTAGCATTGGAATAGCTAGATATATTCAATTCAAATACCACGAGCACAAAATTTTTGAAATACTGTTTATTTTTCTTACTTTTTTCTAATTAATTAATTATTTTCGTGACCGACTTTGATCTGGGGTGAAATACCACATGCCTTTATAATGTTGTAAGAGAGTCCGTAGCTTGAAATTTGAGTGTGCGATCAAATTTGAGGTGATGGAATACATGAACATTGTTAAATTTAGCTTTTGATTTTGAATGTGTATGTTAATAGAGAGACACACTTGATTAACATACATTTTAAGCAAATATGCATAAGAATTTATTGCGATAGTGATATGAACAAAATATCAAAGATTCATTGAAGAGGAAAGATTACATTGAGAGGAAAGATTGTTTTGATAGAGAGAGAACTCTGTATACGGACGAGAGAAAAGTGAATGAAAAACTAATGAGAGCTAACCTAATTTGCTATATATATGAAACCTAAACTAAAAGTGCTGAACACTTAACAAAAACGTGTTTGGCCAAATACAATGCCAAATAATATAAAATACACTTTATACTCTAATATCCCCCCGCAAGAGGAACATGTATATTTACAATGTTCATCTTGGAGAGACAAGTGGAAAATGGCTGTGAGTTGAGTGGTTTTGTAAGTATGTCTGCAATTTGGTCTTCAGAAGGAACAAAATGCAAGGAGATGATTCCTGTGGAGAGTTTTTCTCTGATTAAGTGGCAGTTGATCTCGATGTGCATGCTTTGTTCTTTCATGATGGACAAGGTTCTTGGCAAGAGAAATTGCAGATTTGCTATCTGAAAGTAAAGAAACTGGAGCAGTATGAGTAATGTTCAAATCCTTTAGCAAGTATAAAAGCCATTGAGCTTCACAGGTAGTGAGTGCCAAGGCTCTATATTCTGCCTCTGCAGAAGACCTACTGACAGTAGGTTGTTTCTTTGATTTCCAGAAAATTAAAGAGTCACCAAGAAAGAAGGCATAACCAGTTATGCTTCTTCTTGTATCTGGGCAACCAGCCCCATCACTGTCATTATAGCCTTTCAAAAGTAAATGCCCTTAACATACCTTAGAACCCTGTTGGCAGCTGTCATGTGTTGTTGATTTGGACAAGAAACAAATTGACTTAAGCAATGAACACTGTGAGTTAAATTAGGTCTAGTGATAGTTAAATAAAGCAATCTGCCAATTAATCTCCTAAACTCAGAGGCATCAACAGAAACAGAGTTGTTATCAGAACAAACAGCAGATAGTCTCAAATTGGAATCCATGGGAGTTTTGGCAGGTTTGCAATCCAAGTAACCAGTGTCTTTGAGAATGTCTAATGCATATTTTGTTTGACAAAGATGAATGCCTTTGTTTGACTGAGCAATTTCCAAACCAAGTATGTATTTTAAAGTTCCCAAATCCTCTATGGTAAAACAAGAATCAAGATGTTGTTTGATGGCAGATATAGCAGATAAATTGTTCCCTGTGACTATTATGTCATCAACATATACAAGGAGGATTAAAGTGAACTCAGATTTGGAATAAACAAACAAAGAGCAATCAGAAGTAGATTGAAACCATAAGCAAGAAGACAAGTTGTTAACTTTTGAAACCATTGTCTAGAGGCTTGTTTTAAGCCATATAAACTTTTGGTTAATTGACAAACTCTGTTATCATTATCAGCCAAATAGCCAGGGGGAGGGGTCATGTAAACAGTTTCATCCAAGTCACCATGTAGAAAGGCATTATTAACATCTAGTTGATGAATGTGCCAATTTTTAACAGAAGCAATACTAAGGAGAACTCTGACAGTAGTGATTTTTGCAACAGGTGAGAAAGTATCAAAGTAATCTATACCTTCCTCCTATGTGTAGCCTTTGGTTACTAGTCTAGCTTTATACCTTTCAATTGTGCCATCTGATTTGTACTTGATTTTGTACACCCATTTACATCCTATGCAATGATGATTGGGTGGTAAATGCACTAATTTCCAGGTATTTGTCTTTTCAAGAGCAGTTATTTCTTTATGCATGGCTTCTTGCCAGAGGGGATCTAAGACAACTTTCTTATATGTCTTAGGTTCAATATTAGTAGTAATAGCAGAGGTAAAACATGCATGAGAGTGGGATAATGATGCAGTAGATAAATAGTTAGCTAATGAATAAGGTGTCCCAGATGTGTCATCATGTGTGGCAGAGGTAGAATTAGGGGGTTCAGAAATGGTAGGTGAATTGTTAGGTAAGGAGTGATTGTAAATTTTTAAGTATGAAGGGGGTTTTCTGGGCCTAGAGGACCTTCTGAGTATGGTGGTTGAAAGATTAGGTGTAGTGATTGGCAGTTGGTTATTTGGTGATGGAGGAGGTGAGTGATGAGGTTGAATATCAGATGGAGGAGGGTTATTGTTTGATATAGTAGGTAGGGATGAAGTGGTAGAGTGTGGAGAAAAAGGAAAGTCAGGTGGTTTAGGAAACAAGTTATCTGACTGAGTAGTAAGTATAGATGTGTGTTTAAAGGGTAACACATGTTCATAGAATGACACATTTCTGGAGATTTCTATTTTCTTGGTATCTAAGTTGTAAAGTCTATATCCTTTACAACCAAGGGGATATCCAAGAAGAATGCATTTGGATGCTCTGTGGTCAAATTTTGATCTATGTGCAGTGAGAGTAGATGCATAACATAGGCAACCAATAACTTTTAAATGATTGAGTGTTGGTGCTTTGTTGTGTAATTTTTGAAAAGGTGAGATGTTATGATGCACAGTTGATGGAATTCTATTTATGATGTGAGTTGCAGCAATAACACAATCAATCCAGAAATGCAGAGGTAGATGAGCATGAAAGAGAATGGCTCTAGCAACTTGGAGTAAATATTGATGTTTTCTTTCTACCCTAGCATTCTGTTGTGGTGTTTCTGTGCATGATGTTTGATGAATGATGCCATTATTATTGAAGAAATCATGTAAGAAGAATTCAGAACCATTGTCTGATCTGATGCATTTGATCTTTTTGTTAAATTGAGTGAGTATGAGGTTAAAGAAATGAGGTAAATAATGCTTGGTGTCTGATTCTTGTAAAAGAGGATAAACCCAAGTTACTCTGCTATAATCATCAACAAGAGTAAGAAAATATTTATGTCCAGAATGAGATGGTATGGAAAAAGGAACCCATAAATCACAATGAACAAGATCAAATGGTGCAGATGCAATAGAAATGCTATTATTGTATGGTAATCTTTTCTGTCTGGCATAATGACAACAATCACAAGGTATAGTAGTAAAGTTTTTACAGTTCAAAGAAGAACATTCAGGAATACATGAAAGCTTATGAAAGGATAAATGCCCTAATCTGAAATGCCACAATTCAGCAGGGGATGGTACATAAGGAAAATCAGAAGATACAGAAGTTTGATTACAATCAGAAACATGAGAGTTAGCAGCCAGAACAGTAGTACAATTATTAAGAGAAAGATGATAAAGGCCATTCTGAGCTTCAGCAAAACCAATCACTTTGTTGGTTTGAAGCTCATGCAAAGTACAGTAAGAAGATGCAAATTTGACATAGCAATTGTTAGAGTCAGATAATTTTGAAACTGATATGAGATTAAAAGTAAAATTTGGAACATAAAGCACATTTTGGAGCACAAGATTAGGTCCCAGATTGATCTGTCCCACATGGCTAGCAAATGTGTTTTGTCCATTAGGTAGGTTTATCTTTATAGATATGGGTGTAGGTGGTTTAGAAAAGAAAGAAAAGTCACAGACCATGTGATCAGTGGCACCTGTGTCAAGGATCCAGATATTTTTGGTAAAGGAAGAAATAGATTGACAATTTAAGGAAACAATACCTTGCTGTTCTATGTGAACAGTGGCAGCTGTGGGAGTGGACTCAGCCTGAGCCTTTCCCTGGGTTGTAACAAGAGAATTTTTGTATTCTAAAAACTCAGCAAACAGTTTGTCAGTCATTGATGGATTGGAAATGTTTATAGGAGAAGGGTTATGGGTGGCAACAGAGTTGACTGATGGTTTAGTGTTTAAAGTCTGTAATGATGGGTGAATTCTAGGGCCTTTTGGACCAATCCAATTGGATGGATAGCCAATAACTTGGTAACATTTCTCAGTAGGATGATTGTAACCACAGTGAGTGCATTTAAATCGTTTCTTATCTTTGGGATCAGCAGGTTTAAAATATTTTGAAGTTTTAACAGCCATGACAGCAGGTTCAAATGGTTTAGAAGAATGATGTAAAGACCTCTGACTCTCTTCTTGCAACAATAAGGAGTAAACTTTTGACAAGGATGGTAAAGGAGTAGATAATAAGAAATGACTTCTCAACTGAGCATATGAATCATTAAGACCAACGAGAAATTTCATGACAGAGTCATTCTGTTGAGCAAGAGTCATTGAATCAAAAATAGCACAAGTACAGCGAGTCATGGCACCACAAACACATTTAAACACAGGTCGATATGTAATGTATTCATCCCAAAGACATTTAAAAGCAGTGTAATATTGAGTTATGGACTGAGAACCTTGATCCATAGTGCTTAGTGATATTTCAAGTTGAAAAACCCTAGGACCACTGCTAAGAGCATAACGAGACTTAAGTTCATCCCAGACATGTTGAGCATTAGTGAAGAAAAGTAAAGATGAACGTATTTCTTTAGAAACAGAATTCAGAAGCCAAGAAAGTACCAAGTTATTAGCACGAATCCAAACAATATGATCAGTAGGGTGAGTAGTAGGGTTAGGGGTTACCAGAGTACCATCAATGAAAGCAACTTTGTTTTTGACGCTTAAGGCCATTGTTACAGCCCTTGACCAGGACACATAATTGTCACCAGTGAATGGATCGGCAACGATGATAGCAC